GGTATACCTCAGGGAAGCCACATGGGACCGTTAATTTTTATACTGTACTTCAACGACGTGCATCTGGTCATCGAATCTGCTCATTTGCTGACTGTCACTTTCTTCAACGTCAACTGAATGTATTCGCTAGTTGGTTCAGGTTAAACAGAATGGTAGTGAACCCAGCCAAATGCTCCGCTATTACGTTCTCACGAAAACAACAACCGATAATATTTAGCTATGACCTGCTTGGCTCGACAATCGAACGCGTGAATCAGGTGAAAGACTTGGGTGTGATCTTGGATTCGCAGCTTTCTTTCAAGCAACACATTGCATATGTTGTTGATAAGGCGTCAAGAACTTTAGGGTTAATTTTTAGGATAGCTAAAAACTTCACTGATATCTACTGTCTAAAATCTCTCTATTGTTCGCTTGTTCGATCGACGCTTGAGTATTGTTCAGCGGTTTGGAACCCAAACTACAACAACGGTGCCGAGAGAATTGAATCTGTTCAACGTCGCTTTCTTCGTTTTGCGTTGCGTAGATTGCCTTGGAACGATCCGTTTCGATTACCAAGCTACGAAAGCCGTTGTCAACTTATCGACCTAGAACTTCTCCGGACTAGAAGAGACACAAACAGAGCCCTTACCGTGGCCGATATCCTACAAGGAAGGACAGATTGTGAGGCTATCCTGAGGCAAATTGACCTGAATGTTCAACCCCGACCGCTTCGTAATAACCTTATGCTAAGACTGCCTCTACGTCGCACAAATTATGGAGCGTACGGTGCGATTTGCGGACTGCAGAGAACATTCAACAGAGTTGCATCTGTTTTCGACTTTCATCTCTCCCGTGATGCGCTTCGTCGAAAGTTTTCTTCTGTTTTTCGCCGGCAGGAGTTAAGATATTGACTATAAGATATACGTTTTTTAATGTTTTTTTATGTTATGACCATGCTTGAATGTATTTTTTTTTTACCATAGTTGATAAGGTTTAAATCATTGGGGCTTCATCCAGCCTGTTGATGTAATTAAATAAATAACAAATAAAATCCCATAAGTGGTACCCATTCACACCGTATCCAACAAAGTGACAAAGCTTGCTACGGGAATCCAGTTTTCCCTCCGCTTCTCCTTTGGGACAAAGCAGAAAGCCTTGCTAAAAAAGATCCGCAATTTTTGAAACCTCCGGCTTGTGGCCATACCATATTTCGTTAGATTCGTTCGAGATTATACCTAACAATGATCCCAGAAGTTTTTGACTTAGACTCATTTTCAAGATTCTTAACTAAGGCATTTATGGTGTGATTTTTGATATTGTGAGGTTTTTAAAAATTACTTAAAATATAATAAATCGAGAACCCGGGTTCGAACCCCCAAGCTCCACCCCTGATCCTATCCTTCGACAATGTACCTCTCTAACCTCGAGTAAGCCGCGAGTATTCGGCCCAACTCCTACTAGACATAGAATTAAGTGAAATTTGTTACAAACAAAGAACAATGAACTATCGGCTCCGTAAAGCTAACGCGATTGAGCCTACCAAATAAACGAACTAGTTAAAAAAAACCGGGTTCGAAAATAAAAATCCGGGCAAAGGATAATGAAAAATGATCAGCTTCCAAAACCCATAGAAAAATTTGTGTTGTAGGACAGGATGAAGTAGTCCACATAAATCTGCGCTTTCGTCTCCATCGCTTTGCAGTCGTAGCTGATGTTGCCATAATGTACCGCATGATTGGTGTATGTGGCCCAGATCGGAAACTCTAGAAGATTGTATGGTTTGGTCCCGACAATCAAATCATCCGAACGTTTGAATTGAACACCATAACTTACGGAACTACAAGGTGTCTGCTGAAACTAGCAGAAGATGGAAAGCAGTCACATCCAGCAGCGCCAGAAGTGCTGAAACACTCAGGAGTTGACGACATATCTAGATAGAGCTGGAATTAGGGCGTAACAGCTTTTGTAAACAATGACTTCTTTCGATGATTGCTAGAAAGTTAAGGCTCGCCAACGCAAATCAACAACACCATCGGGTAGAGGAAAACTTCCCCTACCCGATGGTTATGTTGGTTTGCGTGAGCGTGTCTTGAGTTCCTAGAAATCGTCGATAGAAGTCATTGATTACAAAAGCTGTTACACCCTAATTCCAGCTCTTTCTAGATATAGAAGATGGCAAACAATTCGTCGATGAAATGGTAGACTTGATGCATTCTGGAGGGCTTACGCTGAGAAAGTGGAATCCAAATTGCGAGGAGATTTTGCTGCACGTTCCGGAGCATCTGCGGGACGATCGGACTATTTTTGCAGTGGACTATTTTTGCAGTGGGAACCACGGACGGATTGCTATCACTTCAGCACACTGAAATGGACATCTCTAGATTGTTCGATCCTCTGGGATCGATTAGTCCTGTTATCGTTCAAGCCAAACTGTTCATCCAGGAATTGTTGAAGCGTGAATGTAACTGGCAGTGATGCAAAATATCATGACACTCACTCGACACTCGTCAACGCATCAACCGAATATCGCTGACAGAACGTTTTGTCACGCAGTGAGAGGTAGAGCCATGGCAAACAACAATCACCAGCAATGGTCGCTGCTCACAGGCAAGACGTAACACTCGCTGCTGATGATGTAAAGCACAACGAAAACAGTGAAGACAGTACGATGATGAGAAAAAACGAAACGACAGAAGACAATGAAAACAATGCCTACGCATACCAAGTTCGTCTCGGCACGCGCGACTGTGTGAGTTACAAGCAAAGCAGGCAAAATTAAACGGAAGCTACCATCACTCACCAACACACTCACATAGGCAAGCAAAGCAGTAACTGCTTCAAAACGAGCACAAATGAGTGTCGTGATTGTCGGGAATAACCAGATCGTTGATGGATCACCATCGAAGACGACATTCACCAGTTGCTTTTTACTTCTTTCGTCAACTTGATGGATGGTCATGGAGAGAACTTCGAGTGTTACTACCATCAGCTGTTTGATGATCGTGATTGTGATAGGTCGCAACTCTGGTAACTGGGATGATCCATTGAGCAACGATCTACTAGAAACATGGCTGGAGTATCGGAGAAACATGATCGGATTGGATGGATTAACGTTACCAAATCGTTGAAAAGGGTCGAGTTACATGGATTCTGCGATGCTTTGAAGAAAGCCTATAGTCTATCAAAACCATTTCGAAAGATGACACAGTTGAAGTTTGCTTGTTCACAGCCAAATATCTAGTTGCTCCCCTCGAAAATCTCAAGAAGAAGTAGAGGACATTTCTTTCAATACCTCGCCTCGAACTATCATCACCAATATTAGTTGCACACCTTTTCGAGAAGGTCATCAACAGCATTCGCATGACTGTAAAATCGTACTTCTGGACGGATTCCACTATCGTAAAATACTCGGCATCGATACAATCCAGATGGAAAAAGTTTGTGGTAAATCGCGTACCAGAAATCCAGTCCAAGTAGTCCCAAGCATGGGACCTGGAATCACGTTTCCGGGACGGAGAATCCAGCAGATGTTATATCTCGTGACATGGACCTCACTGGCTGTTGCACGATGAAGCAAACTGGCCAACATCCGAGCCAAGTCAGAGCGAATACCTTCCGTCGATTCTGGAGGAAAGGAGTGTAGTAATTGCATTGTCATGAATAGAACCAAGTGAAATCTTCACTCTACGTTCATCATTAACAAATCTAGTGTACATTCGGCGTTTCAGTTTCAACGCTAAGGTTGCCAATCGAGGATCGCCGAACGCGGCGACGATGGACTTCGAATGCTGGTACGCTTGGAACAGAAGGAATGGTTCCCCCAAGAGTATGATGATTTGTTGAAAGATCGCGAAGTTCAAGGTTGTTCGAGAATTGCATCTGTATGAAATATTTCGTCGTCGTCTTCATTTGCCTAGTCACAAAAGCTGTGCACCTGGAGCTAGTGGCTGACCTATCATCACAAGGTTTTGTAGCTTCTCTTAGGCGATTTTCGTCTCGACGTGGAAAACATCATTATGTGCGGCAAAGCCAAAAAGTTTGTCGGAGTCAAACGAAAGCTAGAAGAACTACGTAAACTCTTCATCAGCCAAGAATTTCAAGACAGCGTGGCCAGAGATGCAGCGAACGGCAATATCAAATTTCGTTTCATTCCCGCGCGCTCACCCAACTTCGGAGGTTTGGGACAGTGCTGTAAACTCGTTAACGCTACTGAAGAGAGCGATAGGATCACGAAGCTTGCTGTACGACGAATTTCCGACTGTTCCACTAGCCCCACTTAGTTAGCCGAGTAACTACGAATCTCTCACATTGGGTCATTTCCTCTTACAACGTCTGCTGACAGCAATTCCGGAACGCAGTCTCGATGGATTACTAGAAAATCGCTTATCGACATGGCAGAAAGTTCAACATTTGGTTCAATGCTTATGGAGGAAATGGCCGACACAATATCTGTCCAATCTACACAACCGTACAAAGTGGACCAAACGACGAAATCAACCACCGTTGAAGTGGCAACTAGGACGTGTCTCTGAAGTTCATGCTGGAATCGAAGGAAATATTCGGGTAGTGACTGTTCGCACGAAGGATGACTGCTACAAGCGAGCGATCTCCAAGATCTGCGTACTGCCAATCTAACTAATTCTTTACCTAAATCCTTTGAAGATCTCCTGGCGTTATTCTCAGATTTAATTGTAATTCCCTTCACCCCCTAAATATTATCCAAAAATTTCCAAGGACATATGCTTCGGATTCGTTATCATGGAATTATCCTCAGAATGCCCTTGGAATTTTTCATTTGAAGTTCACAGGAGCTCTGCTCCTCAGAAATTCCTATGCGTTTCCATTAACATTTACTCTGAAATCAATTCCTCAGAAATACCTTGAAAGCAGATTGCAGTTGATGTTTTTCTGCACCACGACCCTAATAACTGAACAATATTTCGATACTTCTCGGCTCATACGCACTGCATCATTACCGGATCTCTGATTCACCACTTATAACTATCTAATATCCTCTTCAGCTACATCATGGAATTCCGCAAGCAACATCTGGAAGCCTTCCAGAAGAAGTACGGCATGAAGCTGGGCTTCATGTCTGCCTTCACCAAAGCAGCCGCCTACGCCCTACAGGACCAACCCGTTGTCAATGCTGTGATCGGAGAAAATGTAAGTTCCAATCCTCTCTATACATAACCGCTTGATCTTATGTCGTTGCTGCTTTTTTTTTCCCCTCCCAGGAAATTATCTACCGCGACTATGTCGACATTTCCGTTGCGGTGGCCTCGCCCAAGGGCTTGGTCGTACCGGTGCTAAGGAACGTGGAGAGCATGAACTTTGCCGACATCGAGCTGGCCATCGCCGGGCTGGCCGACAAGGCCAAGAAGGGCACGCTCGCGGTCGAGGATATGGACGGAGGCACCTTCACCATCTCGAACGGTGGAGTGTTCGGTTCACTGCTGGGTACCCCCATCATCAATCCACCGCAGAGTGCAATCCTGGGAATGCACGGCATCTTCGAACGGCCCGTTGCCATTAAAGGACAGGTAAGATTGCAACGATACGATTCAAATTGAGCAAGCAACTAAAACCGGTTTGCGCTTTGCAGGTTGTCGTGCGGCCGATGATGTACATTGCACTGACCTACGATCACCGACTGATTGATGGTCGTGAGGGGGTCATGTTCTTGCGCAAGATTAAGGCTGCTGTCGAGGATCCTCGCATCATCCTGGCTGGCCTGTAAGACTCTACCACTTACCGTTGTACTATTACAAGTTAGAACTCAGTCTCCGAACAACCTGGAAACAATAGGCATCACGACCTGTGCTAGAAGGCAATTGCAAACAAAACAAGAAAACAATAGTATCCAACAACCAAGCAGAATCGTTCGTATGTTTAGGAAAATGAACTTTTCGTGATTATGAGAATCTTAAACCGGAAAGCAGTAAACGTAACTCCAATTCCGAATTCATTGATGCACACTCCTTTTTGATACGCACCGCCCTACCGTTGTTATTTATAGGGGAAACAAACTGGAAATCCATTCGCGTTGGTACTTTTCTAGACAAAACACAGTTTGTCGACCTGTTATCGTATTTGATGCGACGTATTTTTTTTTTCTCTTACATAAGTCACATTATACTTTAATCCGTCGTGCAAATCAAACGCTAAGTCAACCGTATAGTTTATTTTGTAGCAAGCATACCTAACGTACACACTATACTCTACTAGACACCTTCGGCAGATTTAGGTGGATAACCGGTTTTGTTGCGATTTGTCATCATCATCCGACGACTGTTGTGTGAAGTGGAGGAAAAAGTTATTGAAAATTTAAACGGAAAAAAATCTTAAAGAATAAATGAACGTGCTAACTAAATGCTGCAGTAGATAGATTATTTATTCGATCGAAATTCATAATGTATTTATTTTCATATCTAAATAAAACATTTTGACCACGAAAGCGGCTGGTTACATACATTATTACAAATTGCGGTTTACTGTTTACTACTTCGTTGTTGCTTTCTCAATAAATCTTTGTTTTTCCTCTGGGACATAAATCCACTTCGACCACCCAATGACTCTTTACTTGGTTTAGCAAGGTTTCGCCTGATACTGTAATTTTTAGTAACACTCGATGCTGGAATGGAAATCTTTCAAAAGTTCTTTAAACTGTAATAAGCGAAATAAGTCATCGAACTTCCCCAGGAGCATTTCCAGCATCCTTCGGAAGTTTCCGAGCGTCTGTTCTTCATGTTAGGGGTGGCCTGATCATCGTCTTGTACTAGCGTAGGCTTCAAAACAGAGTTGGTAATCCGGCAAGACGGGGTAAGGACCAGAGGTGGTAAATGTAGCTTTAATGTAGCCCCAATGATGGTTTGAAAAAGCAAACTCATTGGGATTGCATTGATCATGACATAACGAACAGGATAACATTAACAGCAATAACAAAAACAACAGTTCCTACCAGTTCCACATCAGAAATCATGGCAACCCCCGTTTTCTTCCACCTGATCGAGAGCTGCTTTCAGCAGCAAAAAATGTCTTCAACAAACCACCGGTTAATTATCAACCTACGATGCAGTTTGAAAAAAGGGAAACTATAAACCCGTACCCAGTAAGCGGTCTTCAGAATTCACATGGTATGGCTCCGGGGAATTCTTCCTCTACATCGTGTCAGCCGTGCACATGTAGACATGCGTGTTTTCGGCACCACTGACGCACTCACCTGAGGTAGAATATGACAACATAGCTGAGCCCGAGGATCATGGCATCTCACATAACTTGAGGGATTTCGGACAGGATGCAGCCACTTCACCCCCTGACCAGCACGATGTAAGTGACCATGTCGCTAGTTTATCAAGTAGCTCTTTTTTAAGTGAAACTACAGTCTATTGCCAAAATTTTAACCGTATGCGTAGTGCGTATAAAATAAATGAAATTCAAAATAAAATAAGCGGATGCACATATGATATAATAATTGGAACAGAAACTAGTTGGTCTGATAGTATTAATAGCGAAGAGGTCTTTGGTAGTAAATATTGTGTTTTTCGATGTGACCGCGATTTATCATTATCAGGTAAAAAATCAGGTGGTGGTGTACTTATTGCTGTGAATGCTACATTTCAAGCTGAAAAAATTGTTAGTGAAAGCCAAAAAGAATTTGAAGATGTGTGGGTTAAAATTTTAATAAACGGCGAAGAACATCTTTTCGCTTCTGTCTACTTTCCTCCACACTTTTCCAAAAAACCAGCTTACGAAAAGTTTTTCACTGCTGCAGAACTGAAAATTCAAAGAGAAGATCCGAGAACCAAAATTCATATTTATGGAGATTTTAACCAGAATACTGTTAATTTTATACAGGATAGTGATAATGATTCTCTGTTGTTACCAATTGTAGGAGAAAACGATACTTTGCAATTCATCTTTGATAAAAGCAGCCACTTGGGACTTCATCAAATTAACCATGTTCGTAACCAGCTCAATTCCTATTTGGATCTTATGTTTACTAATTGTACAGAAGATTTTTGTATTGTAGAAGCAGCAGTTCCATTATGGAAGAATGAAAAATTTCATACGGCATTTGAATACTCAGTGTTCACAGACTCGCATCGTTCACGCCCAAGCGTTGTTGATTTTGAATTAGTTTATGATTTTAAAAATGCAAATGTTCCTGAATTTAACAACAGACTGAATAACATAAGTTGGCAAAACCTTTTAAAAGATGAAAACAACATGGACAAGGCTGTTGACATATTTTATACTAACTTATACAATATTATTGAAGAATTCGTTCCTAAAAGACAAAAGAGAATAGTGAACAGCACCAAATATCCTGTGTGGTATACACAAGAAATCAGAAATATTAAAAACAGGAAGCAAAAAGCACACAAGGCGTATAAAAAGTTTAAAACGTCACAAAATTTAGAAAAATACGTTGAAATTTGCGGAGCACTTGAGGCAGAAATATCGTCAGCATATGAGAATTACAATTCAAGAGTAGAGAACAATATAAAATCAGATCCCAAAACGTTCTTTAACTTCGCGAACGAAAAAATGAAGTCATGTACATTCCCATCACGCATGCAGTTTGAAGAGTGTGATAGCACTGATAGTGAGGATATTTGTAACCTATTTGCTCGTTTTTTCCAAAACACATATAAGAAATCCAGTAATGCTCTCGATTTGAACTATTTTTCTTACCTACATGAAGGGGAAAATGACGTATCAGTTAAAAATATCACTGTTAAAGAAATTTTTATGACTTTTGAAAGTCTCGATGCTGGCAAAGGACCTGGTCCTAATGAAATACCTCCATTTTTATTGAAAAAAATAGCAACAAGTTTTGTTAAACCATTGTTTTGGCTTTACAATTTATCTCTCAAAACAGGTGATTTTCCAAAAATTTGGAAGAAATCATTTTTAGTTCCAATATTTAAATCTGGCAAACGGTCAGATATTAAAAACTATAGAGGTATTGCAATTATGTCATGCATTCCTAAAATGTTTGAAGCAATTGTTAACCAGAAAATATTTAACCAGGTTAAGCATCGCATTTCAAATAATCAACATGGTTTTTTTAAAGGTCGGTCAACGTCTACTAATCTGTTGGAATTTGTAAACTTTTCTATTGAAGCAATGGATAGAGGTAATACCGTTGAAACCTTATACACTGACTTTAGTAAGGCCTTTGACAGAGTAGACATTCCCTTACTTCTTTTTAAATTAAAACGTTTAGGTATGACAAGTACACTTTTAAAATGGATTGGATCATACTTGACAGAAAGAACACAGATGGTCCGCTTTAAAGGAAAAATATCTTCGCCAGTTAATGTTACCTCGGGAGTTCCACAGGGATCTCATTTAGGTCCTTTATTATTTATTTTATTTGTGGATGACGTGAAGTTTGTGTTAAATCGTTTAAATGTGCTCATATATGCTGACGATATGAAACTGTACATGGAAATCTTTGACAATTCTGATTTGCTACATTTTAAAAATGAAATTGATGTTTTCTACAACTGGTGCGTTAAAAGTCTGCTGGATATTAATGTTAAAAAATGCAATATTATATCATATTCCAGAAAAAACACTACTCTAGATTTTACATGTACTCTAGGAAACCAGCTGGTTGTAAGGTGCGATAAAATTAGGGACTTAGGAGTAATTCTTGACTCGAAGTTGACATTTGTAGATCATGTGAATACCACAATTCACAAAGCAAATAATATGTTGGGATTCATAAAAAGATTTAGTTATCATTTTAAAGACCCATATACCATCAAAACACTTTACATAGCTTACGTGAGATCAATTCTCGAATACTGCAGTGTGGTTTGGGCTCCATACCATGAAACTTATATAAATCGTATGGAATCAGTTCAAAAACAGTTTTTGTTATTTGCTCTTAGGAAACTAGGCTGGACCTCTTTTCCCCTTCCTTCTTATGAGTCCCGTTGCATGTTGATAAACATTGAAACACTTAAGAAACGAAGAGAAATTTCCATGATTTCCTTTGTCAATGATATTATCTCACAACGCGTAAATTCAGAAAAAATATTAGCAAGATTAAATTTTTACGTACCATCACGCATGTTAAGAACTCGAAATGTATTTCAACTGTCACCTCACAGAACGAATTATGGTAAAAATGGACCAATTAATAGAATGATGAGAGTGTATAATAATTATTGTGAGCATATAGATCTAACGATGTCTAAAGATACAGTAAGGAGAACACTAACTGCTAGGATTTCATCTCGTTAAGTTTAAAACAATTTTTATTTTTTAGATATTTGTATATGCAGTTTACATTTGCTGACAATTTCAAATAAAACCTATGTTTTAAAATAGCATGTAAGGCAACAGCACTATTGTAAAACGGTCTACACTGATTGACGACAAATAAATAAAAACTAATAAAAAGCCTAAAAATCTATACCAATACTCAGACATAAATATAAGTCTGCAACTGTTTCCTGTGTGTAAATGCATAGAAGAAGAACATGACAGTTACGTTCATGAATGGAAAGTGTGTTTTCAAAAAATGAAAAATAAAGGTTCAACGTTTAGTTTTCTTTATAACTAGGGGAAATGGATGTAATGTCGACCTAAATGCCCCTAATTCAGCAATCGACTAAATTTTCAATAGCGACCGAAATATCCATTAGTACCGTCCCAATGACGCATTCATCTAGATAAAATTGATAAATAGCATATTTTAAGCGATGGGCCCAATCTTAGATCCATATGCCAACATTAGAGGCATTTCCCCTATCTGATTTCATCGTACAATGGTGTGTAGTGTTTACACGATCATGTTTCTAATTCTAATGTATTGTAAATATAATTGAAAGCATTTGAAAAGTAAGATTCTAGTGTTTTGTACTTCTAAAAACATTAGTAAACATCTACATTTGAAAACATTCAAACAACGTTTACTTTAAACGTTTTGTACATCTGAAAACATCAGAAAACAACAAACAGGAAGTACAATTGAAAACATCCGAACAACGTTTAGTTTTAACGTTGTGTACATCCGAAAACATCCAAAAAACGTTTGGTTCTAACATCAGGAAACTTCTACATTGAAAAACATCAGAAAACATTTACATATAAAAACATTTAAACAACGTTTAGTTCTAACGTTTTTTACATCCGAAAACATCCGAAAACGTTTGGTTCTAACATCGGGAAACATCTACATTAGAAAACATCAGAAAACGTTTAGTTCTAACGTAATGTACATCAGAAAACATCCTTAAAACGTTTGGTTCTAATGTCAAGAGATTGAAATTTTTGACGTCAGACCGACATTAGAATGGTAAAATTTTGTTCCAAAATTTCTGATGTATACACCATGTTACGTTGCTTAAATAC